ACTAACATAACTGTATCCCACTCACCGTACTTTCTTTGCATTTTTAAAGCCTATTGCTAATGTGATTACAAATAAATATATGTTTTTGTAGCGACCAAGGCAACAATCTACTCGACGTTGTACTCGGTGCAGGCACAAGGGGCACAACATGGCCTCTTGTCAGAATGGTCTCTAAGGAAAGAAGGGTTAAAAAGGTGCATTGCATGTGATAAGAAGTAAGCGTTTGGATGGGGGTAAATAATGGTTTCCGCATCCTCCGTCGATGCGATGCTCTGAAACAGCCGCATATGGCTACCATTTCCCGAAATAAATACATGCTTATATTCAGGTTCTAGAATATATGCTTGCATTTGCTCTTACTTGGATGGTGATGTGCGGCTCTGTTCATAGAAATGTATCATTTCAGAATGATATTACATGAAGCCCTTGATTTGTTTTGTTTTGTTGTAATATAGGTGATGCAATTATTCTGTGACCAACTAATCTTTTGTTGTAAAAAAGGCAATGCACCTTCTCTGAAAACTCATGTATGTGTTTATGGTTGTAATATATAAGCTGGACCACTAGTTTAATGTGAACTTATGTTACTATTTATTGTCTTTTTCTCTAACTAATGGCCTAACATTACTGATCGCAGTTTCAAATATCCCAATAACAATTAGTGACCATTCTCTTCATAACGTTGACAAAACAATGAATTGGAAAATATTGTAGATAAATCCTTAACATAGCATAGTCTACTAATAAGTACGATCTTACATAGAGTAGCAACACAATCGTGACATAAATTCGGATCCTACATATGATCTACTACATGGTTAACGAAGACGCAATTTGAAGTTCAATGTGCTGAACTACTTGACGACGATGTTAGGGTTGAAGGTCTGAAATGCAACTATCGCATAGTTTTCAGCGGCAACTTAGAGTTTTTTTTCATCTAAGTGGAGACACTTAGGCAGCGCTCCAATGGCATGGAGTTCAAACAGCAGCAATGTTGCAACAGCTGATAGCCTTGTCAAATTTATGGGGATATATTTGACTTAACATGAGGCACATATATTTAGTTGATAACTTTCGAATAAACAAGGTCGAATCTTTATGTTGATGGTGATAACAAACCTGGAATTTGGCAACAGAATTCAAGATCCATCCTTGATATAGGAAAAAGAGCTTCATTCAGATAATTTA